TGAGCTACAAACAGAGCTGATGTACTAACCATCCGAGAATCTCTGGGCCCATTCTGGATTGACTTTCATGAGAAACGTGTAGTACGTCCCCCATTGGGCGTGTAAAGGCCTCCCCCTCGCCAGGTCGGCGGCGTAGCGAAGAGTTTCGCCATGGCCCGCCAGAGTCTTCAGATATGGTATCGGCACGAAAGACACCAATTCAACAAACAAGCTGACGGGAATAGCGCTCAGATCGAACGCGTCAGGCTGAAGCGGCGCGTAACGGGCGGAAGCTGTGGTCTTGATCGACTGCACGTTGGACCTGACCATCTGCTCCTTGTGCAGCCTACTGTGGAAGATGCTCAGAGCTGCGACCCCCTTTTTGGCCTGCTCAAGTTGGTCTGAGATGGCTTTCGCTTCGGCGCAGAGGCTATCTAGCCGCGAAACGTTGCATTGTAGGTACGGAAACTGGGTTGCCGGGAGGCCGTCAAGAAGGAAACCTTGAATCATGGCGGGTAATAATAAGCTTGGCTTGTTTAGGTACTTGTGAAGTCGGCGATTTCGTGGAGTTTGCAGACACAATGCACTAGCTTTGAGGTTGACATCTGCAGCCGCTAGCACAGATCACGTGGGATGATGTCAAAGCCGGCCGGTCCCGTGCTGACTCCTCCAGGCCTCCTGTCCTGTGTGCCGTCACCACAACTACCTGCCACTGTGCACTCACTACACAGCATCGCCTGTCCAGTTCCTTACACAATCAAATCGGTCGTCGTCATCATGGCTGAAAGAGCTTGGGAATGAGGCCGAACAGCTTGATTTATCATGGCTTCGTACACGTGCCCCACACATTCCAGCTGCTGCCCATGCCCCCTTTTCCGCTTCTTCTGTCCCGACTACAGCCTCTACAATCCATCCGTATCTCTCGGTTCGCCCCCAGATCCAAAAACTTTCACTCTCTCCATGACCGGCAACCTCTGTAGCTTCTCTCCTACTTCGACTCCTTCAACTGGGGTGCCGAAAACCATCTGCGCCCTCAACGCCCAGGATTCTGACACACCCCATGTCCTCTTCACCTCCCCATCAATGAGCGGATTGTAGTGCTGCAGGTTCGCCCCTAGGCCCATAGCTTCCAGCGCCGTCCACAGGTAGTATTGGTGCATACCGCTGCTCTGATGTGCCCACTCCTCAATCTTGTCCTGGTAGATGTCTGGGGAACTCTCCTTCAGCTCCTCCACGACTGCCATGTCGTCCCAGAACAGAACAGTGCCGTATGCTCCGGCGTAACCGGCGAGTTTTTCTTCGAACGAAGGTCTTCCATCGGAACGAGCACGGAAGCGCTCGTCGCCCAGTCTACCGTGGAAGACTTGAGTGGCAATGGACCACAGCTTGTTGTGGTCGGCCCCAAACAAGACAGTCAGACGTGCGGTCTGGCTATTGAATGCTGACGGTACATCCAGAATGGCTCTCTCGGCTAGACCTGCGATGGCTGTGTCGGGGACCGGCGAAGATGCTTGAAGCGAACGAATGCTGCGACGACTGTGTGTTGCTTTGAGGAAGCTCATCGTCTCGACTGTAGACATTTCGATCATGAACAAGGCGGACAGGGTAGAATTACAGCAGAATCATGTCCAAGCTGCAGAGAAATATCCTCATTATATACACTGTCCGGCGTCGTTACAGACGTGCAGTCCCACCCTACCTCCCAAAAAGCTGACAAAAAAAGAGGGATTAATCATTCAGCTGGCCTGTGCCATGGATTGACATTGATCGCGTTAGTCTACTGATCGACATGCCTCTTGCTAGTGCATGGTCTTGGCGGCAGCTATGCTAGGTATGCTTAATAACACCACGTTGTTCTTGTCCCCCAAACTTGTTGTTCAAACTTCTCACTCAGCAAAGCTTTTCGAGGGGCAGATCGATATGTTTCGCGACTCAGCCGCCGCAGGCCGGCCCGAAGTATGCCATAGGCAAGAGGAAGAGGATATAATGATCAGTGCATTGCCATTAGACCACATTGATGTGCCGCATCAACAATGGACCATGATCAACAAACACCGCTGGGCCACAACGGGAACTCATTTCAGACCAAACCACGCGCTGATTCTCCGCGGCCCTTTTTGAATGGAGATGGACACCTCGACTTCGCTCCTGGGGACCCAACGAACCCCTCCAACTGGTCGACCAAGCGTAAATGCTACACCACTGGTGTCGCAATCCTTCTTGTTGTGAATGCAACCTTTGCCTCCTCAGCGCCCACCGGCGCCTTTCAGGGGATCAGCCAAAGCATGCATGTCTCCAACGAAGTCGCTGGTCTGGTGACGACGCTGTTTCTCCTAGGCTATTGCATGGGTCCCCTCGTATGGGCTCCGCTTTCTGAATACTACGGGCAAGTCATCTCCTTACAGCCATTCGTCTCGGCGATTAATGTCTTCTTCACAGCCGACGTTGGGTCTTTTACATCACCTTCAGCCTCTACCTGAGCTTCAACTTCCTTTGCGCCTTCACGCCCAACTTTGCAGGTCTCCTTACCGGCCGCTTTCTCACGGGCATGTTCGCAGCTTCCGCTCTTTCCAATGCCCCGGGTCTCGTTGCCGACATGTGGAGCCCAGTCGAGCGCGGGAATGCCATGATTCTATTCATTGTGGCCACCTTCGCGGGGCCAGCGCTGGGGCCCGTCGTAGCTGGATTTCTCGAACTGAAGAAGACATGGCGCTGGACGTTCTATGTCCTCCTGTGGCTCGCTGGTGCGACAGAGGTCTTACTACTGACTATTCCCGAGACCCTGCCTGCGGCGGTGCTGCGGAAAAAAGCTCGACAAACGCGACGTCTAAACTCAGAGTACAGCCAACTTTTGGCGTCCACCGAAATGGACCGGAGGGGTTTAGCTTCGTTGTTCAATACCGCATGGACAAGGCCCTGGGGGATTCTGGTCGATCCAATCAGCTTTTTGGTCGCCATCTTTTACTCTGTGGTTTATACACTGCTGTATATGCTGTTCGACATTTATCCCATCGTCTTCCAGCAGCAGCGTCGTTGGAACGTTGGCATCGGCGAGCTCCCTCTCATTGGTGTCGTCATCGGCGCATGTATCGGTGGCCTCATTCTCTACCTCCTCAGTATCAAGCTCAGGAACAAGATCGAGTCCGGCCACCATGTGACACCGGAGGACAGACTGCCCGCTGCCATGGTTGGAGGCGTATTGTTTCCGATCACGATGTTTTGGTTTGCGTGGACCGCAGAGTTTAATTCGATCCATTGGATTGTCCCAACAATTGCAGGAACCTTTCTCGCCACATCGATCCTCCTTATCTTTGTCGGGTTCATCAACTACTTGGTCGACGTTTACACCGCCTATGCGGCATCCGCGATGGCTGCCAACACAATACTTCGGTCTGCGTGCGCTGCCGCAGCGCCTCTTTTCACCCAGTACATGTTCGACGCCGTAGGTGTCGGAGGTGGAGGGTCGCTTATAGGCGGCGTGGCAGTGTTGCTCGCGCCGATACCTTTTATTTTCTCCAGATACGGGGAAGAGATGCGGAGACGATCGAACTTTGCAACGACAACGACAAGGACAGATGGGAGAGTTGCGCCCAGAGACGAAAAATCGCATGGATGAGTATTGGGTACTTGTGGATAGGAAAGAAGTACTTTGAGCCCATGGCGCTTCTGTATCTAATTGCCGAAAAAGCAAGACTACACATATGAAAATCGACGGATACAATCCCGAGCGAGACGTATTGATACCAGGCTTCACTATGAGTGATGTTACCGAGTTGCGAAGCAGTCATTGCGCTTTCATTTTGAAGTGGATGTTCGATAAAATTGTCTTGCGGTTGTAGGCTCCAGCGGGTGGGTGAGGCGAGGATTACGACGCAAAACAGAAGTACAGACTTTGGCCGGCAAGTGCGTGCTTACTGCGGGTATATTGACGGATCAATCCTTTCTGACTGTTGTGGCAATATCCAGGACGAGTTTCGTGCAGACACCCTTGCAAAAATGCATGAATATTGGGTATTCAAGTGCTGCTGAGTGCTTGAACGAGCAGACATTACGACATGTTAAGCATCTGAGGGAAACATGATCTAAACGTTCATGTGGGAAAGGCCGTCAATTTTGGACGTCCAACCGTCTGTCTGGTGCTTGTTCCCCGCGTGTTCTTTGAAACGGTGATATCTGACACAGGAAAGAAGATGCAAACGTCCATTCGAGAAGCCACGGATTTTGAGCGTCAAGATGCTAGCGATCAGGTTGGACAATGAGATCAAGGCGGTTGTGTGATACGGACCGAATCTTGAACGTCTGAGTGCTTGCTGCAGGTGGGTGTGGTAGGCGTATCCACATGTGTACCATAGGGATGGACCGAGGAGAACGAGTCCGAAACTCGGTTGTTTGTGGGAGGATTTCGATAGCCCATGCATGCTCTGGAGAAGCAGACTTCCCACGGGGAGAGACAGGATGGCTTTTGGGCCGTTCATGTCACTCCAGTTCCATTCCATCCGATGTCGAGGATAGTGGAGAGGCTGGGTACGGAGTAGACTGGCGGTAGACGAAAATGACGGCGAGACAGCTAAATTAGGTGGAATGTGACGCGACCGATGCTCAAAGGACATTCATCAAGTCTTTCCTCAAACCTGACAGTGTCCGTTCGCTGTTGTTGAATGCCTCTCAGTGTCTACTCTATAGCCGTGGAAGAGGAGCCCGCGTGGGCGCAGCAGAAGCACGCAGCCGATGCAAAAGATCCGGACCGGAGTACTCTACCTAGTGTTGCAACTCCCTGGGTTCATAGAAGAGACCCCATATTGCACCGGATACTTGACTTGAGTAGAGGATTTGGAGAGGAAAAAGACGCTTCCTCGAGCGGCACAGGAAATTCCGTTTCCAATGGATGAGAGTCAAAACGTGCGCTGTGGTAGTCTGAATCTCATTGGCATCTCGGCAGTTTCACGTGCCCCAACTCCCAAGCGAGCCCCACCTTATTTATAGCTATATAAAAATAATAAATTTCCAAGCTATTATCCTTCGCTTCCTTGGTCTAGTCGGTTATGACGTCGGTCTCATACTTCTCCTGCATGATTTAGCTTTGCTAAAGCCATCCGAAGGTCGCCAGTTCGATTCTGGCAGGGAGCACGGTTTTCTTTTTCATTTTATTATCTTTTTGCTCCATTTTGATTCTCGACTGTAACCTGCCTGACGCGACGAATGTTTTGTGATCTGCAGAGGTTTTTCTGACATCCCGTGACCATTTTTGTCATGCCTGGGATGATGTTGGCCACCTTCCATTGAGAACAACTTCAGCGGAGAGCGCCGCATTGTTCTAACTCCTTTACGGATGGATATGTTTATTAAGATGGTCTTAGTACCATTATGTAGATGTGAGGAGAATTGCATGAAGCGATATCAGGCTCAAGTCACATAAGATGAGCATGACGAAAACGGCATTTGAGCTTCATTCTGCTTGCAACAACAGAAATTTTGCAGTTTCTACAGTTCATTCACCACAGTATCGTGAGATTAGGTAATACTGATTACAACCCCAGGCTCAAGGCAGCCCCCTACCTGAATTCACCGCTTCGGCCAACTGACTTGTATCCGGTCGATTCTCTAGCACTGATATCAGCAACAACACAATCGACAGAAAAGCGTAGCGACTCACCGGCATATCGCTGATAGCTGTCCAAATACAAGCCATCCTCACTCGTCGTGGCCTTGACACTAGCCTCCGTTTCAATAGCTTGTACCCACTTGGCCCAACGACTTCCCTCCTCGGGCTCTGGCCACCCACGGTAAGGCGTGAGCACTCTGTTCAGACGGATAATCCATGGCGCAATCTGCACGTCGACAAAGCTCATTTTCGCACCCAGGAAGAAGGGGCCCGTTGCATCCGCTGCTTCGACCAGTTTCTGGATCTCCGTCTTCAGATCGGATGCATGCTGAAGCTGGGTGGAGGTATCCTGGGACTGAAGGAGGCGGTAGAAGGTGGGGATAACATGGCGGTTGACCTGATGAAGAGGGCGTCAGATATCGTATCTAAACACACGCAGACGAGTCAGTACGTACGTGATCCGCCCAAAGTCGCGAATTCGCTCGGATTTGAGCATTGGGAGGTAGAAGAGGCTTTCCCGCGTCGAGATCCTCGAGCTAGAGAGGGTCAGTCTAGTTCTGACAGCGGATATCTACATACGTATTCCATAAGGACGGTACTCTCGTAGCAGCCCCAGTCGCCATGCCTCAAAGCTGGAACCAATCCACGAGGGTTGACCTCCAGCAACGATTGGGGCTTCTTGTAGGGATCGACCTCAATATACTGATACGGAATCTGCTTCATTTCGAGCGAGATCCATACGCGTTGTACAAAGGGACTAACAACCGATTAGACTCAACTCCAAACGGCAACGCATATGCTTACCAAAAGCAGCTACCAAAGAGTTTCAGACTGTCTTCTTTCGAATGAGCCTTCACCGTGTTCCACGCGTTTCCGGTAGCCTTCTTGTGATACGTCTTCTTGTCCTTGTCGCCACCCTGGTTAGCATCCAATTCAACTTGATTCGACATGTTGTGGTAACGGAGAAGAGGGTAGAAGTTGTTTATATGGACAGAACTTGTTGGCGAGTTACTTGAATCGACGCGGACTTTGGCGCCGAAGAATGCGCGTCGAGGAAGGGTTGAAATAAAGTTCGCCGTGCAATTGCGAGAAGCGGCAACACGGAAGATTATGGGATTCATAAAGAACGCAAACCAGACAGAGCGTAGCTTAAGAACCACGAGGTGATGAAGGAATGTCGCCACTTTCCCCAAAGTCGCAAGGGTACCACGTTGAGATGACGTGACCGTACATACGATGTTCTGCATCAGGTGCCGTCGGTATTGCATGGCAGGAAAACACAACACAGACAGACAATAAGACGTGGAAGTGAAGCTCACCTGCGTTTGTGTCCTCTTCTCTTTATGGAAAGAGAGGAAATGCCTCTGCACGCTGTTCTTCTTGATGTTGTCACTCTCTTCCAGATCATGTCGATGACGTCCAGTCACTCCATTGTTCTTGCCATTCGCACCATTGCCATTGACTCGCTGTATGGTGTAGAATCTGCTTAGTCCATCTGCAACCAGCGGTTTCGTCTTGTCAACATTGTCGATGCGGAAGACGTTCTTAATCGTTGCAAGAATGTCAGCTTCGGACATCTGGCCACTGGCATACTCAGCACTTGGAAGCCGACAATTCCCGGTTTGCATCACTTGCGATACGGCGTCCAGTTTAGGGGCCATGCCCGGTTGCTGTATTAGAAAGTTTTGCACGTCGCCTTGGGTCGCTGATGGCAAGAACTCTGTAATCCTGATTTTGACGTCACAGAGATTTTTTTTGCGAGAGACTCGTTTTCTGCTCTTCTTGTTTGGATCTTTCTTCGTCCCAGGAGGACGACCTTTAAGCCTGCAGTCATAATAATGCGAGATAAAGGGGGCGCGTTTGTGTGGTTGCGACGAGCGATGCGAGTAGACATTGTCGATGTGAGGGAAGTAGATTTGAAATCTATCCGAACCCAATCATTAGCAGATGTTGATGACTGCATTGGGTTATGAATTGGAAATTTGCTTGAGTATATCATAGAGAGGGAGGTCTGCCAAATTGAAGAGCTCAGAGGTCGTGAAAGATGATCGATTGTACTATCTTCCGACGATGGACGGATTCCCTAGGTAGCTAGGTCGGTAATGATGGTTGACATGGGAGTCAAAGTTGCTTGTTCAATTGGAAAGAATGAAGTCTGCTGAGAAATGGTATGCACATTTTTTATAGAAAGAAAAAGAAAGAAAAAAGGACGCGAGTGAATATCGTTGCGCGTCAACCATACCTTTAGGGGCACAGACTCGGCGTGCTTGCCGATCTACATCTCATGCACAGGTACGAAGCAGAAGGGGGTCTTAACGTCAAGAAAAAAGATAACTTACTCCTCTTCACTCATTCCAACGAGCTCATCCACCTCAAAAAGTATGTTTCTCCACTTCTCCAGATCCACCGGATCTTCCACCGTTTGTAGACCCTGAAAATGTACACCCAGCTCCCTCTTTTTGGGTTGCTCCGTACCGGTGTCTTGTCTGGGCTGGTCTGCACCTGGAGGATGCCTCTCAACAGGATTCGGCTGAACTTCTACTCTCATCCTTTTCCTCGGTCGCTCTGCACCCGAAAACTTTGGGTTTGTGGCAGAAGTCGGAGTCGGAACAGAGGTAGATTCGTGCGGGGGAATAAGCTGGTTCTGAGCCCGCTGTGCCTGACCTCGTCCGAGTAGATGATGCTGGAACGCTCCAGGTACTGAGCCCGGGGACGACGTGTTCATGCCCGGACCCGTACTGATATGCATCTGGTGCTGCAATTGTCCATGTTGCTGTAATTGAGTCTGCCCTGCTGACGGAGCCAATTGAAACCCACCCGCAAACGACTGCGGTGGTATTTGCAACCCGGACAAATCCACGCCCACTCCATCGAGGACATGGTCATATCGTTGCTGAGGTTGCTGCTGCTGCTGCTGGAAAAGCGCATTCTGCTCGGCGAAGGTATGAAAGTCGGCGGCGGGATACAGCTGGGGTTGCTGCTGTGGGGTCGGGAGTGCATGGCCAATTCCCTGGAGAAAATCGGCGGGCGAGGGCTGCGAGTTCGGAAGGGCTGAAGGAAGTGATCGTGGGAGCGAGAGATGCCCATTATTGCGCTGTTGCTGTTGCGAAAGCGCGTCCATTTTGCTTGTTGGCGTTTCCAATGACCTGGGGAAGAGGTTGTAAGGGCGGCAAGACCTTGAAGGTTGGAGCTGACGCGGGCGGAGGCGGTCTTCGCTCGGCAAAAGTCACGTGCCTATACCCACTCGTACCTAATCAGACAGCCCGAGAATCAACACACAGGACTGTCTACTATGCAGATGAGAGAATAACATTCATGGCTTCTTTTACGGTCTGCAATATGCATGTTCTTTCGGAGTAGATTGAATTGAGAAGGACAGTACCTATGCCACGTGACCGTCTACCCCTGATGTGATAGTGATACCCCTTTGAACCCGCTGTATCTTGTACTTTATCCTTCTGTGCACCGAATTCCTCCAACTAGGTAGTCCCTCTAAATGAGGTTCATGATGAGTGCAAAGTAACAACAGCCACCCAATAGTCATCATTTTCTCTTCAACGATGGCGGCACCGCACTACAGCGAGGGCATTTCTGGCTCAGCTTTACATTCGCCACGATGGAGCTGCCACGGGATTCTTGATCGCAGAGCTGTCGGCTGATTGTTGCGCTTGGACATGAGTCGACGAGGCGGACCTCGGTATGGCCACAGCTGTAAGTATAGGCGTGGTAGCGACACATGGTGATGATGATCTGCTCGGATGTAAGACGAGGTCAATTTTCAATTTGGCAGCACAAACTTGTGAGACTGGGGCAGTTTAAATCAACATCAGAGTCTGACTCCACCCTTCTGTTTGCGGGGACTCAACGAGGAGATGGTTTGCCGTGAGAAGACGAAAGACGCGTGTGTTTGAGAGCGGTAAGACTGTGGAGAATCTGTAGAACAAGCAAGAAAGACTCGAGTGAAGTCGAAGAGAGGCAGACGAAGAAAATCACTGGCCAATGCTCATGCTGCTCTTGCTTGACTCGATGAGTATTATAATCACATGTGGCGGTGACACGACATGTTCACTGATGTTTGCAAGACAGCAATTACGCCATAGCAGACTGTTCCACGCATCTTCCTGTCGCTACCTAACTTGGAGGGCATTTTGGAGCGTGATATGTCTCCACGATTGCTACGCGATAAGCGAGCAAGATGAGGTTGTAAGTATTGCGTGCAGACGGACAGTGGCATGCTGGGCATCCAATTGGCAGGTTCTGCGACACTATCATAGCCCTACTGGTTGCGCGAGGACAGAGCGGTCACTGTTGTAGTGCTGGTAATGAAGAGCAAAGGTCTCAGACGAAGCCGGGGGTTTGGGTCGAATTTATGGTGGGAATGGGGCTGACGGGAAAGTGCAGATGGAAAGACCGACGGGAGACATGAGAGTTGGTGTAAGATTTCAACGTTTCAAGGCAGACGAGGCGACAGAGACAAACAGAACAGGACGAGGGTGAAAAGTGACAAGAATTGAGGCAAGGAGGA